TAGTTTAAGGTGCGTCCCACCTTCTTGGGCTTGGGGCGGCTTGGTCCAGGTAATTCAAGGTTTTTCTGGGGTGGTGGGGGTCCAGCAGACGCCATTGTTGAACAGATTAGCGGGCACAAGAGAGAACAGTATAGGTACGCGGAGACTGAGGACAATGAGACTGGCGCACCTAAGGTCAGCGACTTATTCCCTCTGGTGGCAGGGCACGTCATGTTACATTAGACCAATCACAGCTAGCGGCGTAGGGAATGCGTGGGTGGTAAGGATGTGTGGCCCAGCCAGATACGTCATATGACGTCAGCGATAACGTAAGAGCGACCTACTGCGCACCCTCCCTGCACCGCTTCCCGCGTACTGTCAAGAATGTACCGCGTAACTAATAATTGGCGCGTATGGACAGCGGTGAGGTGAGGGCGACCAGCGCGCAACCCGTCCGCGCCGCTTGCCTCGTAAATGATGGAATGTACCGCGTAACTAATAATTGCCGGTCTGGCCAGGTGCCGCGTAAATGACCAACCACGTAAAGGAAATCCGCGTAAATCGAGACTATACTGTATTAATCGGGTCACTCATATGTCAGCTATGCTCGCCATCATGTCATCCATTGTAGGGATCAAGCCAAGGTTATGTGCAGTGGACCCAGCCACCAAGACACACACTCTCCACTGTGTCTTCTGTATTGTAAAGAATATGGAATGATTATCTAATATTGATCGAACCTATTATGTCAAGTAATGTATTACTTGAATAGCTAAATTATTTCATAAATTTGTTAAACAAAACAAAGATAATCTTTCCCAGTCCTTATTGAGAAATGGAAGTATCAGAGCTTGATTGTTGAACTGCTCTGGTGCTTGTTTGTGTGTTGAGGGGCGATGGCAGGACGGCGTCTCTCTGTCCAGTAAGGATGGGGCGTACGTTACATCCTTTTCCTTCATTGTATCATGAACTTTGGTCCGGCACCATACAGTACATAATACAGTACAGAGGCCCCCAAAATTCGTGGGGGTTAGGTTCTCAAAATGGCCGTAAATCGCCAAATCCGCAAATAACATTTGCAGATGGGAGGGAGGGGGGGCATTTTACTTGTGTACAATGAAATGTATATTCTCTTTATGTGTTTGGCATTAAGAAAATTATTTCTTTTACCTGTATTGTATTCTGTATACTGGATGTGTGTATGTATGGATGCACACACACAAAACACATACAAATATATAATACTGGGAAAATATTCACAAATAATAAAAAAAAAAATGTGACAGTCTACCCTCAAGTCCGTGCTTTATTAAATAAAGCACGGACTTGAGGGTAGACTCACATTTTTAATACCTTTTTTCTGATTATTTGTGAGAGTATTTTTCCCATTCTTATTTATTTGTATGTGTTGTGTGTGTGTGTGTGTGTGTGTGTGTGTGTGTGTGTGTGTGTGTGTGTGTGTGTTTATTCACACACACATATTTACAATGCAGGTAAAGGAAATTACTGTCTCTAGAATGAATGGCTCCCTGTCCCAGCCGTGAAAATGGCGGCAACTTTAAAACTTCCCAGTGTCATCCGCGAATAATAGAGGACCACAAAGTAAAAACCGGTGAATTTCGGGGGGCCCCCTGTACTAAAAAATGCTAGAAAACACATTTTCCATTTCCTCCCCGGTAGCTGTAAATATGCGATCAAGGTCCAAAATTTCTGGCGATAATTGGCTATTATGGCATCAACTGGCAACCCTCTTACTGAAGCTAGTGCCTCTCGCTGGCCACTGGTTCGTCAGTTATAGTTCGGGAAGTTCACGAGGCTTGTGTGTTATTGTGCTGCTGTGATTTTATCAGATTCCATTTAATGTGACTAATATTACATTCTTTATTTGTGTTTCTGCAACAGTAGAGATATATTTAAATGTGGGAAGAGCAAAGTTTATAAACAATTTTGAATAACAAGAAACGCCATCCATTTAATCTTTTTCTATTTGTAACGGAACTTTTCAGCTGTTGTGTTTATCCTCACAACGAAAATGTTTGGGAAAGTTTTAGTTTCCATGTCTGGACTGGATGATAAATGAGATTGATCGTTGGTTTTGAGTGTAAATGTTGCTCTATTAAGAGGAATTCAGGCATGCAGCCCTACCTCTGAAATTTTTTTGTCTGAGCAGTGCCTCTCAGTCATTGCCAGTCATTATAACATGGAGTTAAAATCTGAGGAACTAACAGCAGCGAAGCATTATTTAGCCTGCAGAAAAGGGACTGGTAATGCCATTCAGGACATGATAAGTGAATATGTACAGATTATTAGATCCTGATATGTTTCCTTCACTTAACGCAATAATACAAGTTGCCCTGACAGTGCCAGTCAGCAGCTGCAGTTGCAAAAGAGCTTTCAGTACACCGGGGTGTCTACACACCTAGCTATGACGAACAATGGGGCAAAGGAGACTGTATCACCTGGCTGTCTTATCTATTGAAAAGGAAATCATAAACACATTTGCACAACTCAAGAACAGGCATTATGAATTAATGCTCCCATCTACATCTAGCCTCTAAGGAATTTTCAACCAGAGTGAGAGACCTATATGACACTTTAGCGGGATTTGAGCATGGTTCGAGTTTCCTGCCAAAGAGTAATTTTGCAACTGATGAGCAATAATTTATTAATCTAATGATTCCCATTTTCTTTTTTGAGCTTTGTATTAAGTTTCCATACATACTGTATAAATTCATGCTGAATAAAATGTGAGAATACATGTGCGTATGTTGCACATGAAGCTCTTATTAGAGTTAATATAAAGAGTGAGTCATGATGAGCTAGCAGGAGTTTGTGGGGAGTAAGGGGAATGGAGAAACACTTTGGGCTAAAGCACCGGATGTTTTGCGTGGGTAGCAATGCCACTGTACTGTATGTATATAAAATGCTTGAACGGCAGCCTCGAAGTCAATGTATGCGGATGCTTAAGTAAATAAAGATGGCAGTGGCACACATGCCAGCATTGGCTTCATGCATATTTCTTGACAAAAAGAAAACTAGTTAGAAAAACCTGAATGGTAATGGCTTTATTCATGAAGTAAGATATAAATTATCTTCTATAGATATTTTTCCTTATAGGTAGCTGGATAACCCAGGCAACTGTCCTTTAATTTTACCCAAAATAATATCTTTCAATCCTGTATTACTTTTTTAATATACTGTGCAGTACTGTATTGTTATCCAAGTATGAAGTACAAAGTCAAAATAAATGATATATTAAGTTCTAATTAAGCTACTTTTTAATGGTGGCTGTCAGACTGTGACTTTAAACCATTTATTCAACCAACCAAACCAAATCTGACTTCCCTAATATAACCCAATGATTTTAGGACAGTTTTCATAAGCTATAAGTTTTTTTTTTTTTTTGGGGGGGGGGTGTTGGTTAGTTCATAGTATCTGTTTTAGGAGATCATTCTGTCAGATTTTTGTTATCAATCAATCTGAGGGTTGGCGACCATAGTCCTCCACTCTAAATGTTCTCGGGCTGTTTTTACCAAACCTCTAAGGTTTTGTATCTCTCTTGGGACCCAGATTTAATTTCTTTCATCCAACCCAGTCTTTGCCTTCCCCTGGCCCTCCTACCCTCAACTTTGCTCATTAATATTTATATTATTATCACCTCATCCCTAATCGTATGAGCAAATTATCTAATTTTTCATTTTCTGTATATTTCAAGTATTTTTCTTGAAGTTTTTGCTAATCTTAGTACTGTACAGTACTTCTTCATTTGTTTTCCTGTCAGTGTATCTAATTCTTAACATTTACCTATAGCACCACATTTCAAAGGCCTCCAACCCCATTCTGGTATCTGCTGAAAGTGTCCACACATATGACCCATACAATAGTCCTTGTCATCTAATGTACTATACGTAGTCTGTTCTGGGCACAATCGTTTTTCATCAAACTTGGTGGAAAAATCGCAAAAAATTCGTAGAGTGGAACAAACCTGGTCCCATGTCGATGGTTTCTTTAGGAAGACATTAATTAACAATTTTATTTACGATGGAAAACGATGCAAGTCTACGGACTTAGCGCACCCTAATTAACCATGCAAGTCTACGGACTTGGCGCACCCTCATTCGCTGTACTCTGTCACGAGCGTTCAAACTCTCACAAGGGCACGAACGTGCCCGCGATCACTTGTGTAAAGTAAAGCCGTTTAGCAGCCCTTTTCTGTAACTGAAGTTAATGTCTCTTTTCATTAGGTCTTTTAAATTATTAAATGCTGTTTGTGCTTGCTCTACTCTTGTTTTGATTTCTTTGGTACATCTATCATCACAGCTAATGTTACTTCCCAAATACAAAATTTTTTCCACTTGTTTAAATTTCCTGTTACCTACCATTTTTGTTTTAGAATTTATTTCCAATTTGGAAACAACCATTACTTTTGTTTTTATAGCATTATCCCTTAAACCATATATTTCACCCTTTTCCACTAATCTGTTAATGAGTTCATTATTTACTAACACTGCAGTCTCCTGTTGCTAGTAAAGATTCTTTAGAATTCTAATATCTCCTTTATTAATGCCTATTTTTCCATGATCTCCATAATTTTATTGTGGTTTTCCTTATCAAAAACGTTTTCAAAATCAACAAAACAGATGTACAAATTATTTTGCCAGTCTTGAAATTGGATGTTTAGGATAAAATCTTTTAATTATTCTTGTGGTCAGTTTAGTTTTCAGGGATAATGACAGTTGGTACTTGCTATTCCACATATTTTATAAGGCTTAAAATGCAATCCAGTTCAATTTTTTATAGACTTTCAGAGACCCATTTAGCTACAGTTATTACCCAGAAGGAATTGATTTGGTTATTGTATACTGTACAGTAGTACATACCATTTTTATTTGTCTCTACATAATTCTGTTCTGATTAGTTTCTGTAGTTGAAACTTGTTAATTATTAGTTCTGATGAGTAATATATATATTTTTAATTTAAGATAATGTATAGGTACTTATAAACTTTATTTTCTTTACAGGCTTTTTTAAACCACGGCCATATCATCCCAATCTCCGTTACTATGAATTTATTGATTCTTCTGCCTTCAAGCATCACATTGTCAAGAGGGGAACAAAAGAGAGTACCCATCGCTTTAATAAGATCAAGGAAGTGCAGTTTAGTGCTTTAGGACGGTAAGAAGTTGTTGTTGCAGATTGTGCAAGTTAACACCAGTTATTATGGAATTGATATAGTACTGTACTGCATAGTACAGTACTTTACTATGCTTACATAAGAATTAGAAAAGGAGTACAGTATACATGTTATTACTATGTGTACTATTAATTTAATTAATACGCTTAAGTAATCTTCAGATGCACATTTGTATGAAGGCACTAATTGTACAATACAAGTACAGTACAGTGATCCCACGGTTAACGAACGGTTCGATTAACGAAATTTTGGTTAACGAATTAGCTCCCATAAGGATTTTCAGTTCGATTAAAGAACAAAACTTTAATTAACGAAATCCTTATGACAAAAACGTTTTGTTGTGCGCATCAGCTGATCGGCTAGTCCGCCATTACATTCATTTCCAGTGGAGTAAATATCAAGAAAGTTAGTCTCTTGAATATTTTTGCATTTTTACATTAAAATTATTGGTCATTCTGAAATTTAGTTAACATGTTGATAATAAACAGTGCAGAAATTATTATGAAACACGAAGAAGGCATTAGAACCAATGCACTCTGTAAAGAATATGGCATGTCATCAACGACTGCCTCTACAATCAGCTGTTTGATATGTAAACAAAGTTGCCGGGAATACGACATACACACCTCAAAGTAAGTTAAAATACAATGTTCTATTGTTTTTTATTTATTATTGTACAGTATACTGTACAGTACAGTACTGTATTTAGTTTATATTTAATGTTTTGTTAATTCCATTACTGGTATGTACAGTATACAGTATAATCTGGATTTACGCTGTTTTGGTTAACGCGTTTGGTCATTTACGCGGTGCCTTGCCAGAATGAAATGTTTTAATTATGCGGTAAATTTGGTCATTTACGCGGGAAGCAGCGCAGGCAGGGTGCGCACAAGGTCGCCCAGTCATCAAAACATAACCGAGTTTTTCACCCGCCACCCACCACAGCCGGCCCAAGTCAGTAATAGTGATAATGACAGTGATAGTGAGGATATGAACTTTGAGGGGTTTGACAAAGAGGCCCTGCAAGCCTCTGTGGTGGATAGTGATACAATTGATGCAAGTGATACAGGTGAGGGCCAATAATCTGCCCTCTGCCTCGGAATCAACCCCCCATCCCCGTGTGCCCAGCCATCTTTTCTACTAACGTAAGTGTTAAAAAACCTAATATTATTGATATTTCTCTTAATTATTAATTGTGTGTGCGTACCATCATAAAATTAAGATGTTATTTTGCCTACAAGGTACGTATTGTTTCGGAAAAAGTGGAGTTTGGGAGTCGGCCCAGTCTCTATTTCAATTAATCCCATATGTTCTGTTATTTCTTTAACGCGTTTCTCGTTTTACGCGGACCTCCACGGGTTCAATTGACCGCGTAAATCCAGACTATACTGTAGTCTCGGTTTACGCGGATTTTTTATACGCGGTTGGTCATTTACGCGGCACCTGTCCAGACGTGCCAATTATTAGTTACGCGGTACATTCCTGAATTTACGGTGGAAACGGCGCAGACAAGCTGCGCGCTAGGTCGCTCTTACGTCACCGCTGACGTCAGATGACGTTTCGGATTGTGATTGGGCCACACATCCTTACCACCCACGCATCCCCTCCGCCGCGAGCTGTGATTGGTCTATTTAACCTTGCTTGCCCAGTCAACAAAACATTACCGAGTTCTTCACCCACCACAGCCAGCCCAAGTCAGTGATAGTGAGGATATGGACTTTGAGGGGTTTGACAAGGAGGCCCTGCTAGCCTCTGTGGTAGATAGTGATACAGGTGATACAAGTGATACAGGTGAGGGCCAATAATCTGCCCTCTGCCTCGGAACCAACCGCCCATTACCGTGTGCCCAGCCATCTCTTCTACTAACGTAAGTGTTAAAAAACCTAATATTATTGATATTTCTCTTAAATATTAATTGTGTGTGCATACCATCATAAAATTAAGATGTTATTTTTACTACAATGTACGTATTGTGTCGGAAAAGGGGTAGTCTGGTGGTCGGCCCAGTATCTATTTCAATTAATCCCATATGTTCTGTTATTTCGTTTACGCGTTTCGCGTTTTACACGGACCTCCACGGGTTTAATTGACCGCGTAAAACGAGACTATACTGTAGTATACTTTTTCTGTGAGTTGGAACCAATTGCCCAATATCCCATTGAAATAATAGATTCGGTTAACGAACGACTCTGTGTTCGTTAACCGAGGGACCACTGTACTGTCATTACAAGCGAATGAGACATTATATGAATGCATTTGAAAAGTTGAATGTGTAATGTACTTCCAGATCCCCTCATTAGACCATGTTTTTAGGGATAATCAATAATAAAAAAATATATGAATAGTTATTAACAGTTATGCAAATGCTCTTTTAACCTTAAATGACAGTGAGGTTTTTACTTAGACTATTTGCTCTGACGGAGAGAGGAGAGTTTTAAAAAATCTAAAACTTATAGAATCTTCTTACAAAAAGGGCAAGATTTGCTCACTGAATACAGGACAGTGGTGTAATTAGATTTGTTGTACGCCAGGTGGGAGTTGGGATCAGAACGTTGCCATACTGACTAGCTTTGGACCTAATTTTATTATTAATTGATTACAGTTGTACCCCGCTTTACGCGGTCAATTGAACCCACAGGGTACCGCGTTAAATGAAAACCGCGTTAAGTGAACAACAGAACATATGGGATTAATTCCAATAGAGACTGGCCCGACCCCCAAACTCCACTTTTTGACAACACACAACTATGTTGTAGTAAAAACTTTATCTTAACTTTATGATGGTATGAACAAACAAGTAATATAGAAGAGGTTAGGTTAGAAAAAAATAAGGGTTAAGTTCGGAAAAATAAAGGTTAGGTTAGGAAAACTAAAAGTTAGGTGTAACACTTACGTTAGTAGAAGACACACACTGCGCAACCTTACAGCGCGGCTTGCCCAGGCGGAGGGAGGCGGGAGGGAGGGAGGAGGAGGGAGAGGCGAGGCAGGCGGGAGCAGCGGGTGGCTGGTGGGGCGAATCTAAAAATAGCGTCTCGAGCCGGACACTCTGCGCGTATATGGGTAGATGAACCGCGTATATGAGAAATCGCGTTAAGTGAAACCGCGTAAAGCTGGGTACAACTGTATTCTATTCTCTTCTGATCAGCCTCTTATGGTGTCTGATTCATCATAAAGACCATAACATTTTCAATTATAGAAAAAATGCCCATACATAATTTGTAATTTGAGCTGATACAGTAATAGGATAAGCTGTATTGGAAGGTATCACTTCTCTGATCCCTTTATCCCCTCTCTCCCTCCTGCGATGACTTAGGAAATATTTACTATTGAAAATTTTCAGTAGCACAGAAACCATGTATTATAATGAGAGATAAAATAAAATAAGGTGTCAAGATGAAAATCATTAAGTAGTGTGGTAAAAGAAGACTTAGACTCGACCTTTTTCTAGGCTTTATTGTTCATATAACTGACCAAGGGTAGTATGGCATCTGGAAGAGAGCAAAAGAATATTCTAGTAAGTGAAGGGAACAATGAAAATTACTAATATAATATAACCCTAAGCAAAACAAAACCCAATGATAAGAAACATAACATATGTACATACAGTGAGTTCTGCTATAACGCGTGTTTTGATAATGCGAATTTGCTCTAACGCGATTTATGAATGGAGGAACGATATTTGTATAACGCGAACACTTGTTTGCTGTAACGCGATTTTTGCTTACTATTTCTCCAATTTTGTGGTATTAACTGAATATGGTAAAGAAGAATATCTCCAAGAAGCGTTCTAGTGATCGAATTCCCGGTGATGATCGTAAAAGAAAGGATATAACACTTGAAGAGAAGCTCGATGTTATCAACCTCAAAATCACCCTTCTCCCCCGTCAAGTTATATTCATATTTTTTCAAGGTAAAGTGTTACATTTACTGTATGATATCATTATTAGATATGAATGTAACATTTATTTAGACTGTGCTATCCTTTGTGTTAGGCTAACTACTAATGTTTTTTCGATTTCGAGTAGTAATCTGCACCTAACCCTATTTTCTCCATAAGCTCTGTTATTTCTATTATGCGATTTTCTATAACACGATGTTTTACAAGAACACAACTATCGCGTTATAGCAGAACTGACTGTATACACATAAAAAGATAGAAGACATGGGTTCAAGTGTACAAGTGTAGCATAACTTTATTACAAGTAGCTTTATGGTGTATTTTATCATTAAAATTTTTTGAAACTTTATAGGGCTGGGTTTGAGTCATGACATTGCTGTCAGTACCTTTCCCTCTCCATATACTTCCTAAAGACAAGTGTCCTCAGATGGTCATATTTCTTCAGTAATCATAAAGAACAGGTTTATGGGTATGGGGCATCAACATGGTACGGGCAAAAACAATAAAAATTAATTCACGGCTGTGTTGTGCCATCGCTTTTCCGTAATGATTTAATGGTCCAATCTTGACCACTACTCCAGTCTCCTGTACCATGAACACCTTGTGCACATGTTGGAGATACATTAATACCCACTACATGTATAACACATGGAGAAATTCTTCTACCTTGCTTTCCTTATTGCTAGTCTCTTGGTTTCTAAGCACTTTTCCTGCACTGATGATTAGCTCATCAATGTCAATATTGCTGAGGCTCACACACGAGCTATCATTTCCGAGTTCACTCAGCAAATCCACCAGTTCTTCAATCTAACCCTCACTCTTCGATGCCCTTAATATTTTACTTATTTTTCTGGGTGTCAAGGCAACACTACTGTGACAAGGGGTCTTTCTGTGCGATGCATCACTGGAGGTGCCAGGTACAGTATTGTATTTCCTCCATGACGACAAAAAATGCTACTGGTAGAGGGAGGAACGTGGGGAGGGTCCAATGCGGGTAGGAAAAGTTACCATGAGCTACAATAATTCACTCAAGTAGAAATTTGGCACCAAACTAAAAAAAATATGGTGTGGAAAGATCCTGAC